TGCTCGTTCTCGGGCTGGCCCACCTGGTGCTCATTCTCGGGCCGGCCCACCTGGTGCTCGTTGCTCGGCCCCAGCCCCGAGGCGCGATGCCAGGCGGGGCGGGCTGGGGGCGCGAGCCCTGCCGGGGTGAAGGCTTGGGAGGCTCCGGCAGCTTCGGGGCAGGGGGCTCAGGGGCATTTCGAGCGGGTCTTTCAATACTTACAGGAGCAGAAATGACTCAAAGACAGCTAGCTGCATCAGCAAAGCCCACCCTGACTTTGGTGGAAGTTCACAAAAGCTAGAAACCTGGAAACACACCGAATAACCTGAAGGCAGATCAACAGGTTGGAGAGTGCCATTTCCCAGTGGTTCAGCTGGTCTCTGCTTCTTCCAGGCTGCTTGTCTTGTCTAAGAGTGACTCTACAGAGTTTCTACTGTCCATATCTATGGTAGTTTGAATGAGAATGGCTCCCGTAGGCTCATATATTTGAATGCTTAGTCACCAGGGAGTGGAACTGTTTGAGAATTAGAAGGTGTGACCTTGTTGGAGGGAATGTACCACTGGGGGTGGGCTTTGATGTTCTAAAAGCCCACACCAGGTCCTGTGTCTCTCCATTTCTCTCTCTGCTGCCTATGGATCAGAATGTAACACTCTCAAGTACTGCTCCAATGCCATGCCTGACTATTTCCATGCGTGATGATCATGGATGCAAGCCCCCAATTAAATGTTTTCTTCAATGAGTTGCCTCGGTCATGGTGTCTGCTCACAGAAACAGAACAGTAACTATGAAACATAGTCTTGGAAAAGGAGCACCCTAGTAAATCTAGTCTGTTTCAGGGACTTCCTGAAGCGATTTTGAATTGTTTACTTCCGGGCTTCCCTGCAGGATACAGTGTTTCAGTCTCAGAGGAATTGTTACACAGCATTCAACTATGTGGAACTGTTTTTGCAGGCATGGATAATCCAAGATTGATAGTCTTCTACCATGCTTTCAGAGAGCTATTGCTGTCTGTGTGTCAGATTCAGAGTAATATGTGGCAGGGCCAGAATTCCTGCAAGAAGGCCCCTAGAAACCAGTCTGAAGCTCTGTGGGTGAAGCCTAAGTTGCAATGGAGATTCTGGGATATTGGAAGTGCCAAAACCACAAGATGTCTACCAAAGAAATCTGCATGCATGGGGTGGGTCTGAATCACGAGAGAGGCTGTGTGTGCTGCAGGCCATAAAGCTGGAGAGAAATGGCTGACTAGAGCGTTTGGCACCCAGATGATTCCATCTTGATTCTCAGCTGCCAAACATGGGCTCCAGGATTTAGTGTTTTCCCTGCTGAGTTTCAATCTTGCTTTGGCCCAACCATTCCTTGCTATTACCCTATTCTCCCCTTCTAGAATAGGAGTGTTTATTCTGTGCCCTCAACTACTAGAAGTACATGACTCATTTTTTTATTTTATAGGAGCACATATTTAAGAGGTTGCCTTGAGTCTCAGAAAAGATTTTGGACTTTGAAATAGTGTTGATACTGTTAAAGACTGGGGCCTTAGTTGAGCTGAGTGCATTTTACATTGAGATAGCCATGAGCCTATGGGCACAAAGGAAAAGGAAGGTTACATGTTAAAAGTGATAAATTTGGTGTGTGTGTGGGGGGGTGTTCTGGAGAGATGGCTCAGAGGTTAAGAGCACTGGCTGCTCTTCCAGAGGTCCTGAGTTCAATTCCCAGCAACTACATGGCGGCTCACAGGCATCTGCAATGATATCTGGTACCCCTCTTGGCCTGCAAGGATACATGCAGACAGAATGCTGTCTACATAATAAATCTTAAAAAATAAAGTGATAAATTTGGGTGCCAGGTTGGCAGGGGGTGAACTTTCTGGGAATGCCTGTGATACAATATCTAGATTGGGTTAGCCTCTGTGCATGCCTATGAGGGATTATTTATATTAGGTTAATTGAAGTGGGAGGTCCCACTTGAAATTGGGTGGAACAGCCGGGCGTTGGTGGCGCACGCCTTTAATCCCAGCACTCGGGAGGCAGAGGCAGCTGGATCTCTGTGAGTTCGAGGCCAACCTGGTCTCCAGAGTGAGTGCCAGGATAGGCTCCAAAGCTACACAGAGAAACCCTGTCTGGAAAAAAAAAAATTGGGTGGGACTATTCCATAGGCTGGGTTTCTCAACTAAATAAAAAGGAAAAAATGAGATGAGTCAATCATTCATCACTTGGCTTTCTGATTGTGGATACCTTCTGCTCCTGCCATCATGCCTTCTCTGCCAGGATGGATTGTACCTCTTGTAACTGTAAGCCAAAATAAAATGTCCTTCCTTAAAATTATTTTTTCACAGTAATAAGCCCATAATACAATATCCATGTTACTCAAAGCCAAGCTTTGTCCAACCTGAGTCGCCACGAGTTTTGTTTGTCATGGGGACTAGACAGAAGACAGATGAGAAAGAGGCAGAAACTCTTTTTCTTTTCTTTCTTTCTTTTTTTGTTTGTTTGTTTTTGTTTTTGTTCCCCCCCCCCCCAGACAGGATTTCTTTGTAGCTTTGGAGGCTGTCCTGTAACTTGCTCTGTAGACCAGGCTGATCTCAAAATCACAGAGATCCACCTGAGAGGCAGAAACTCTTAACCAGAGTGAGCAGAGGGCCATCACCTCTGCATGAAAGGCAAACAGCTCCCCAAGGTGGGAGGCATTGTCTTGTGCTCTGCGGTTTTCATTTTAACAGAGTCCTAAGACCAACCCAAGGAAAGGAGCCTTAATAGGACAATTTTAGATAATATGAGGAGACAATGGGGCGCTTTAGGCGTCTGAAACCCCAGCTTTGGACAGTCATTGTCTCTGTCCTAGAAATGTACCATAGCAGTCTGGCTACCACAGGCTGCCATCCCCACAAAGAAATGTGACTAAGGTAACTGCTCTGAGGTGCCTGCTCCTGTAAGATTTCCTTGTGACTCTAACTGTACCTGCAAATAGTCTTCATGTGTTAATGCTGTTACCCAGCAGGCTTTGCCCATGTACCTTCTTGCTGACTGGAAGAGTCACACAGGACACATCTGTGACTTGCTTGCTGTCAGACCCAGCTCTGTCATTCATAAGCTGAGGGACTTTTAACAGGTCACCTAACTTCTGTTTCTTCCACTGTTAATGGGCCTGTCCATAGGAAGCTCTGAGTCACTTGTGATGTCCCTCACTGCCAAAGCATCTCTGGGTTCCTGGATTGCATGAAGGGCTCATTTGGGGGATTCAGAGGCTATGAAGCCAGCCAGTTACAGAGAACAGTGTGCAGTTGCCAGTGCTACAGAGCTGGTGGATTTTCCTCCCACCTCTGCAACTTTTACCCATCTCTGGGTCTGATATGGTCCTAAGCTATTCCCCTGCTACCTCTCTCCCCAAAACCAGCCAACTCTGCACTGGACACAGCTTCCCTTTAATGAAATCACAGGATGTCTTGACACAAGGGACCAGAATGCTCAGGAAGGTGGGGTTAATTTGATGCTCTCCTCTCCCTCCTCAAATGCAGTTTCAGGTGCTGACTACAGTGCTAGTTGGAGGCCTCAGAAGATGTCAGGGACAATATAGTCAGTGTGAACTCCATCAATCAGTCCAGCTCCATTGTTGTGGATGAACCAGCAAGACACTTCTGTTCCATGTCTGGAATCCTTGCTGTAGTCTCTTTGTAAGCCCCTGGGCACAAACAAGAGAGCTGGGGTCCTTATTTAGACCTGGCAAGGCTGCACCTTGTCTTACCCACATGATACCAGGAGGAAGGCCTAGTCTTACAATAGGGACAAAACACAGGCAAGAGCAGAAGCACCGGACAGACCCACTCACCTGGTGACTGTCAGCTGCTGATTCTTCACTACCATTGTGGCATCTAACTTCATAGGGTCAGAGCCTGGGCGGATGTCAGATACTTCAAAATCCAGGGGGTAGAAGAATTGTCCTGTAAAGGTGCATTGGGGGCCGTGGTTACTGATGAAGCAGAGAGGAGCCTGAGGGACAAGTGCCTCACAGAGAGCAGGGGTGACAGAAATGTCACAGAGATCTGGTGACCAATGACCTGCCACTCTTACAAGGTCCCTGGAGCCTTCTGACCTTTCTGTGAGCTAGGTTTTTCTCCCATTCATTCCCAGGCCCATTTAGCTTTTGTCTCACTCTGCATTTGGTCACCATCTTTACAAGGGACAAGGCCCTCAAGCACTGAGTCTTAAAGGACTATCCTGGAGATCAGCCTGTCCTCATGCTCTGGGACCCACGAGCACACACTGGCACACTGTGAGTCGGAGCACCAACTCACAGTTCTGCCCTCCCGGCCAGTCGTACCCAGTAGCCCCTGCGTCCGGGCTGACATCTGGAAGCTATTCAGCACATAGAAGCCCAGAAAGTCCTGGTGGACGGCACTCCCCTTCCACGTCCTGTGCAGGACAATCTCAAAGGTAGCTCCATCTTCCACAGACACCACCAGGTTCCTTTTCTTGTTGATGGTCACAATGACCCTGCAGGGCCAGGTAGGCATCAGATCAGGATTAGCCCTTATCCGCTAGGACCCAGATATCACAACCATCCCCCATGGCTCCCATTCTGTGAGGTCTGGGTGCTATTTGTTCCCTCCCATATGTCTCTCTGTCCTGTATGGCTTAAAATGTACCAGGCCCTGTGCCAAGTCCTCTATGTAAACTGAATCACTCAATTTTTCCCTCTGACCCTGTGAAAGGACCAAGGTTCAGAGGGGTTAAGTAACTTTGCCAGAGTCACGTAACTAGTAATTGGTGGGTATCTGAGTCTGTGTCCCATGTGTCCCATGAATCCCACTCATTGTCCGCACTGTCCACCTGGTCTCAGAACACCTCTTCCTGTAGCCGTGCTGATATCTCAAGGAGTTGGTTGAATAAATGAATGAGTAAATGAAGGAATAGACATGACAGGTACCCAACAGAAAGACCAGAGGACTCAAATTCGGTGCAGAAAGCAATCAAGAGAGCTGTGGGAAAGGAGGGGCCTTTGTCCCAGCCTGGGGCTGGCTTTGCTTGCTGGAGAGGGTTGGGATTGAAGGCTCCAGTCCCAAAGCTCATGCCCAGGAATGAAGGAAAGTGGGCACAGGGATGGTTGAGTATGACCATGTGCATAGGCCCTGTGGGCATCACTTGATCACACTACTTGCAAAATGTTGGCTCTGCGGACTCAGGTGGCAGAGCTGGGGCTACAGCTTTACACCTTGGCCCCATGCCACAACATGTTTCCTCCCTGCTGCTCAGACCAGGCCTAGTTACCCATCCTTCTGCAGCGTGGCCTGGTCCCTCCAGGAGAACACAGGCCCACCAGAGCTGGGGTTCAGTGTAATGTTCTGTGGAGTCACTTCCAGCTGAAAGTCGGATGCAGGATTTGAGATCCCAAATCTCCCGAAGTATGTGCCCTCAGGCTGCCCAGGCCTGCTGGCCTTGTTCCCAACGAGCTGCCCATTCACTGAGAAACCTGCAGTGGGGGGAGGAGCCATCCAGTCAGCATGGGGCCCTTGCTCATGCCACATTTCCTTCCCAGGACGTCCCCTACATGCCACAGACCATGTCATCTTTGAGGGTGTCACCTTCAGGACTGCTCCCAAGACACCCTATGATTTTTCTCTGCTTCCTACCCATCCATATTGTAACTACTAGATGTCCTATACTTAGTTTTCTTTTTTGGACTCTGGCCCCCTGAGGACAGGAGTGGGTCTCCCCTTTCTCACACAGAGACAGACTCACGGGAGATCTAGAAATGCCTTTGCCAGGCCTTGAACAGCCCCATTCTCACTGACTCTAAATGTTAAGGCTCATGCTCCAAAATTAACATCTAAATTCCTTGGGGGGGGTGGCCCTGTTCTCACTGCATCCCAGCCCCTAGTCAATGCTCAACAGACATGGAGCTGGCTGGCTGGATGAGGGGTCGGGGTGGGGGGAGGGAGGAGAGGAGTCAGAAAAGTCTTCTCTACTATAGCCATGCTAGAGAGGTTCTTTGAGGGCTCTGTACAGCCACACTTGTGGGACCCGTGTGATGTTCAGACCTTGGTATGAGACAGAAATGAGGGACTCTTGGTTTTAAATGTCTAAGGATGTCAAGAGAGCAAGACCTGAGCAGTAGACTAAGTATGCGGCTCATCTGACTCCAGGTCCTGGATGCTGTATGAGTCACACACTTATAAACCTTAGGTAGTGGAGTCAAGGACACGGAGTATGAGGGAGGCAAGAGGCACCTGCCAAGTGGATGATATGTAAGGCAATAGGCAGTGAGGGCCACCCCAGTAGTTTCTGTTTAAATAGGGGGGGTAGAGGTGTGCTGGCTCTGTCCCACCTGGCAGAGAGCACATTACCTGTGTCAGGGTCCTGCACCAGGCTCAGGATAACCCCAGGTTCCTCATTGATGTTGAAGCACAGGCTATCCTCTTTCTGGGGTACATAGATGATAAAGTGGGGATCGGTGTCCACTGGGAATACAGCATGGAGTCCATTACATTGGGTATTGGTCTGATGGGGCCAATGACGGGAATCCCTCAGACCCTCCCAAGACTCACCACCTGTCACTTGATTTGGCAGCTTTGAGACTATGGAGGTGCGGGCTGTAGGAGAAGGCTGTGTGGCTGACAGCACAAACGCTGTAGGTGAGAATGAATGGCACTAAGAAGGGGTGTGTGGCACAACCTCCTAGAGCTCTGCAGACACCCCTTTCCATGTAGCTGGCCCGAGGCTACAGACAATGGGGACACAAAAGTATCACACACACTCCATGCCTCTCAGGACATGGGGACAGAAGTTTGGCCTGGCCCCTCTGTCCTCTTCAGGTGAGACCTAGGTTGGGGAAGCCAGGCCTACACTGGCGGAATGTCCTAAGGATTTCCAGTAAGATTGTGAAGGGAACCGGGCTGGGTGATAAGCAGGGAAGTGCTCAGTTGAGGGCCAGCAGGGTAAGCAGGAAGAGTGGAGAAGGGAGTCCCCAAGATGGCTGCTACTTACTTCTTCTGGGTCCCACCATCTCTGCAGAAGACAAGGAAAACACAATGTTACTCTGACCCCACCCTATCCCCAGGGCATGCAGCTCAGTCCACAAGTGTACCTCGGGCAGAGATGAACCCTGTTGAGGTTGAGGGGGCCTTCCAAGTATCCCCACTCCTTACACACACACTGGGCAGAAGGGCTAGATGGAGATGTGAGGAAGGCTGGGAAAGGTTCTGGCTGCTAGAGGCTCGTGAAGCATGAAAGCCCTGAACTCGTGATGCAGGCAGAAGGGCCCAGGAGGGGGTGGGGTTAGAGAAGACTCAGGAACAATGGGTTCTGTGCTTGGGGGTACAGCATGTGTCACCACTTGAAGCCATGCGCTAAATAAATCAACAGGCAGAAAACTCACCTAAGGGCTGAGAATCTGAAAGGAAGGGAAGAAGAAAAGAATTAATCCCACAAGGATTTTGGCTCATGACCTTCAAGACCACAAACCCCTACTGCCTATACCCTCTGGGGTCTTGTCAATGGTGGGCTCCAGCCCATCCTGGTCTGTCAGGCCTCTGATCGTCATAGAGGTCAGTGGTGTTACGAACTGATAGTCCAGTGACATCTTCAGGACCTGGGATGACAGGTTGGCCTTCTCCTCCCCTTCCATCTTCATCCTGTGTGTGAGAAACGTGCTTGACTCCAAGACCTCTATACAAGTGATGATGGGTTTGTGTTCCTTCCTTCAGCTTCCCTGCCTATCTGTTCTCTCTTTAACTCATTCAACAAACTTTCACTCATAGCTCCCTCCTGTCACAATGGCTGTGGCCTTAGGGACCTCATGGTTGTAGGATTTCTCGTGGTGAGAACCTGATTATTTGGGAGGGCTGAGGCATACACCTCAGAGCTACATGCCTTGGCTGCTATGAGACCATAGTAGCTCACCCCTCTGAGCTTTACACTGCTCTCCCATTAAGTAGAGATGATGAAGGAACTCCCTCACAGATGGTGAGGACTAAATGAGTATGTCTAGTATGTAGACACAGCAGCTCCATAGCAAGTGGTAGCCTTCTCCAAGGCAGCTCAGTGGGACAAACGGGCTGTCTTCTTTCCAGAATCCCCACCCAAGTGGAAGACCTACTCTGTAGACCCTGTACTCCCTCTCAGCCTGCAGGCTCAGAACCACCATTCCCTGTCCATCAGGAACAAGGGCGAACAGTGTCCACTCCTAGCAGTTGTAGTGGCCCTACCGCTTAGCCAGCAGCTCCTGGATAGTGAGGTAGGCCCATAGCCGCTCCACATGATTCTCTAGCATGTGGCCACGCTCTCGGAGCAGTTTCTTCATCTCTTCCTCATCCACTAGGCATGTTGCCTTGAATTCTTGCCTCTCCTGAGAGTTGAAAGGGGAGAAAGGGCATAAGCCATGAAAGTACGAGCCTTGGATGATGCCTGAGGTAGTGGCAAACACCCTCATTTGGTCTCTGCTTTTTCATTCTCAGTATCATCATCTCTCTGGAGCCTGCTTTCATATCCATCCATCCATCCATCCATCCATCCAACCATCCATCCATCCATTTATCCATCCATCCTACTGATGCTGGTTAACCACCCCTTGTGAGCCAGATGTGGCATAGGCCTCAGAGATCCAGTGGGACAGGAAGCCCAGGCCTGTCCTCATGGAGTTACTCTCTCTGGAAGGGGTCAACAAATACCTGCTGCTTCTGCTTGCTGTTCCCTTCTTCCAAGGGTCACAGAGTGCCAGCTGGGCTGCCCTGGTAAGCTTGCCATAGCTAGACCATATGCATGTGCTGTGGTCCCCAGCTACCATAATGAAGTCTTGGGACAAGGCATTGTTTGTATCAAGGCCTGTATCTGGTACTTAATAGATTATTCTATTTACACCCAATGCATACACACACACTCCAGGGCAGTGCTATCTCTGTGGTACAGAAAAAAGTACAATCTAGAGAGCTGGATAGGGCAAGGCAAGATTCTAGCTAGCTTTCTTCCTTCCAGGCCTAAGTTCTAAGCCCTCACCCCCACTGTGGGTTGGATCCATGCCCTGGAGGGTGAGCCCAGGTCTCCTATCGCTGGAACCTTCCACACATGTGCATGTAGTTGCATAGTTGCATTTACTGCACCATGACGCTGGGCCTGGTACACAAGGCTTGTCCAGGAAATGGCATCTAGTGAGAAGGGTTAGGGTTAGGGTTAGGGTTTGGGTTAGGGTTTGTGTTAGGGTTAGGGTTAGGGTTAGGGTTAGGGTTAGGGTTATGGTTAGGGTACGGTTAGGGGTAGGGATGGGGGTAGGGGTATGGTTAGGGGTGGGGCTTGGGGTGGGGGGGTTGGGGTGGGGAGTGGGGTTGAGGAGTGGGGGTGGGGGATGATGTGAGGAGTATTGAGTGATCCTATTGAGCCAAGGGATTACACTAATTGATGCCACGTTGGTTCCATTCCAGCCTGTCCAGTCCCCAGGCTGCAATATATTTGTCCTCCCCTGGGAAGAGGACACTACTATGGGGAAAGAGAGGCCCTTGAGATGGTCAGGGGTAGGGACCAGTGTGAATCTGGAGTGTCTAAGAATTGCCTAGACTCTACACCCCTGACAGCCCACCATTTACCCCACGAGCCCGAACATCAGCCTTAAAGCTGCTCAGCTTGTGGTCAGCAATGCGTCCAGCCACCACGATCTCGGAGCCATCATAGTACTGTTTATGTCGGTGCTGAGTTAGAGTTAAGACCGAATCCTGGGGATATTGCAGCTCCACATCTGTCAGCAGGGGGTTGGCTACTTGATTATAGAAGCCCTGCAGGGATAGGGAGTATAGCCTCAGAACACATTACCTAGGAACCTGCTAGGAAGGCTGTGCACAAAATGGAATGCTGATGCCCCACGTTAGAGGTGGAATCTAGGCTCAGAGAGGTTAGGTAATTGCTTATGGTCATATAGCTGATTTCAACTCTGGGTATCTATCATTTCTAGGTTGGTAGGCAAATGGCCACCAAGCCCCCATGACATATTGATGATGGTGTGTGGGAGGGTAGGGGAGACCTGTAGCTGCTGGGTGGCATCGTGGTCCTCATAAATTCTCTGGGCCCATCCACTGTTCTCCATGGACATGACCTCCAGGAAGTTAAAGTCCAGGTCGTGGCCAAAGCCAAGGTTGTAGAGCGGGAATCTGCCCCGGATAGCATTGCGTACATTCTTGAGGATCTGGGAACGGTCCGTCTCCCCTGCAGCCACACATCCAGGCAGTGATGGGATGCCAGATCTCGGGCATAAGGGGGCCCTAGAAGCCTTTGACATAGTTCTTGGGAGCCAAGGTTCCCATCCCAGATCAACTCTGGTCCCTATGACAACTGGAGGCATCTCAGGGCAACCACAACAGCAGGAAACCATATTCACCCATCATAGACAGATGTGGCTCTGCTCCAAACGCTCCCACAGCTCCTGGCCATGGCCTGTGGGGCTCCACCAGCCCTTTCTCTCTCACTTTGCCCCATTCTGCACATGTCCTCTTTCCTGGCAGGCCCTGCAAAATTCCCTTCCTGTTCCCTTCATTTCCTTCCAGCTCAGGGCTTTCTTCTTCCAAGAGGCCTTTCTAGACCTCACCTGGGCCAGGTGCCCCTGTCAGGAATTCCATAAACCTGTGGCACCCTGCTCGTCTAGCTTCTAGAGTCTCTAGTCCTGGTTAGCTTGAGGGCACATCTCATTCTCTTGGTATCTCTTTGCAGCCCCTTGTCCTGGACTTGGCACAAAGTGGGTCCTGAATAAATGGCTTGAGGAAACTTAGGCTATAAATCCTACCCATCCTCCGAGTCCCTATGCATCCAAGCATCACATAGAAACACTTGCTGTTACCAACTCACAGGACAGAGATGCACCTCTGAGCGATGTGGTCCGAACAGTTTTCAGGCCAGCATTTGACTTTATTCTGAGCCTGTCTGCCCCAGTGGCCTCTCCAACAGATGAATTGGTCATTTCTGGTAGTGAGATCACCTCCCAGGGCAGCCCTTGAGGAACTTACCCTCGGTGGGTTCTCCATCTGTCAACATGATAAGAATTGAGGCTGGGCTGCTCAGTTCTGGGTGGCTTCCTTGAGCTTTGTTTAAGATCTCAATTCCTCTGAGCAAGCCTCCATTCAGGTTTGTGGCTGTAAAGGAGAAGAAATGGACCAGTGTACACCCATCTCCCAAGAAAGCAGAAGTGATGCTGGGGTGTGCTGAGACACCTCCCCTACCTCCAGCCAGAGAAAAGCGTCGCACGAAGTCCTGAGCCGCTTGCAGATTGGCCTGAGTCGCTGGTACCAGTGAGCCCTTCCAGGATTGCACTTGAGACCCAAAGAGGACCAGATCAAAGTTGTCCCCTGGCTTCACGTCCCCCAGGATCTTAAGTAGTGCCTCCTTGGTCTGTAAGGACAGTAAGTCAGAGGAGGGACATAGCCATAGGATAGCCATAGGATAGCTCCTTCCAGGAACCCTGGTAGCCACTGTAGAAACCCATAGTGGGCAAGCAGAGGTGACAGTCAGACAGCCCCAAGAAAGAAGCCTGCTGCTGGGACTTGGGGGTGTATGAGGAGCATAAAGAAGGAAAATGGACCAAGTATAGGGAGAAGAAGGAGTTTGTGGGAGCAGGGTCAATAAAGAGCCCTCCCCCATCTCCTACCAGAGCTGCTTTTCTAGAACTTTGCCCTGTGTAGCCATGGCTTCACCACCCATTGGGCAAATCTCTGAACGTGCAGAGGTGCCAGGCCATAGATCATTTATCATTCCCAGCATTTTCAGGGCACAGGCTTTCTCTACTGAGCACTTCTCCATGGGAAACTCCATGACCCGTGGGCACCATTTATCCTTTGTTTCAAAACTGAGAAGAGCTGTGCTCGCCTATCGTCTCCCAGTGAGGAAACTGGCTGATTCCAGAGTAGGGATTTCCTGTTACATCCCCTTGTCTCTGCCTATCAGTGCAAGTCCCAAACCGCTTTGACAGTCAAACCTTTATGACAAGATGAGTCAGAGGAGATTCTGCCACTCAAAGTGCCCTTTACCTGCTTCACTTTCTGGCCTTCCATGGAGCCACTGATGTCAATCACAAAAACCAGGTTCTTGCTCATGTTGGTCAGGTTTTGGGGGGCGAAGAAGTGTGCAAAGTAATTGTTGGCCACCTGGAACAGAAGAGACCCAGAAAGGCCTCTCTCCCAAGCACCTTCCCCTGCCCTCTCAGGCTTGGGTCATGACCTGTATGAAGGCTTACCAAGAGGTCACAGAGCTTGTCTCGATTGACATCGTAAGTCACCTTGAAGTCTCCATTCAGCAAGGATGTAGAGCACGTGGAGCAGGACTGCTGCTGGCTCACAGTGGGGCGGAAGAGCACGTGACCCTGAAAGCAAAGAAGGTGTGAGGCACCAGAGGTCTGCATAGTTACAAATAGGGTGTCTGCAAAACAACCTAAGGTTTGTGTGTGCATGTATGCACGGTGTGTGTGTGTGTGTGTGTGTGTGTGTGTGTGTTTACATCTGAATGTGTTTGCTGTGTGTGTGTGTGTGTGTGTGTGTGTGTGTACATCTGAATGTGTTTGCTTAGGCATCTAGGTTCCGAGTGTGCACACTTGTCTGTGGCAAGAGAATTGTTGGGATTTCTCTAATAACCACCAGCACTTAGGGTATAAAACCAGGAATAAAATAACAGCAGTATGATAGTATAAAAGGTATCAGTAATCTCAAACTGTGGGGTTAGCAAGGCTATAAGTCACTGTGGTAGTAATGTCTATGACCCCAGCAGTCAAGTGGCTGAGGACAGAGGATGTTCAGTTCAAGGCCAGCCTGGACTACATAGTGGGTTCCAGAAGAGACAGAGATACACAGAGCAACCCTGACTCAAAAAAAAATCAAAACAAAACAAAACAAAAAAGATTTTTAAAAAATGAATAGATAATTGGTCTGAGGTAGAATAGAGAAAAGTGAGACTAGGTCGGAGGAAGTTAGTCAATGGAGAGGCGCCCTGGAAAGTTACTTTGCTATGGCCCTTTGGGTCTCTCTCTCTGCTTTCTGGCTACATAAGTGAGCAACCTCTATTCCTACAGGCACTTTTGCCTCATTATGTCCCAGAAACAGTGAAACAAGCTAACGATGGATTGAGACCTCAGAGACCATGGGCCAAAATGAACCCCTCCTCCCCGAGGCTGTTTCCTTCAAGTAAGTATTTGCTACAGTGGATGGAAAGTCTGGCTAATAACTCATCCTGACTGTTTAGCAACCATGCCTGGATATTTTATAAGGGCCTGGCTAAGCTGAGCTGTATCTAAGGGCCCATCCCCATGCCCCACCATGACACGTACCTTTTTCCCTGAGAAAGACTTCTTGATGGTTTGAGCAGCAAGTTCCTTGCTGAGGAAGGAGGCCTGAGCATCCAGCTTGCTGATCCCCTGGGGCTCAAAGATGTCCACATCGATCTGCACCATGGAAACCAATTCTGTGCTAAGGGCCATTTGGGCTAACACCAAATTTCATTCAAGAGCACTGTGGACCTGCCTTCCTACTGTGTGCAGCCCGCCCTTAGCAGGGCCTGGCTCATCATAGGCAGTCCAGAAATACTGACTGAAAGATGCTCATGCCTGAACCCTTCAGCTCGATCCCTCAAGTGGATTTACACATAACTGGGTCTTCAGCTTTTTTTGTAGTCTGGGGTAGTCCTGGGGATTCGGGAATGCTCTCATTTAGTAGATACTCTAAACTGGGGTTCATGGATGAGGAGAAAGCTAGGCGATTCAGGGAGCTTCCTGCCCAGGAAGAGCCCACAGGAGCCCACCCTGAGGAGTCATTCTCATTCCCTGTTTTCAGGCCTGGGGAAACATGGAAGGGGCTGGACCAGTCCTGGGAGCCAGAGAGAGAGAGATGGCAGAGGAGGGGGGAGCGGCTGGGGAGGATGGGGTCCAAAGTACCTCAAAATGTTGTACCAGCTGCTTGGGCTTGACTTTGATGACAATGTCATATTGCATAAGTCTCCGCTTCAGCACCTCCTCATAGGTGAGTTGAAATGTGGCCTTGCTCTGGGCTCCAACAGAGATGTGGATGGTGAACTGTTCCATATTTCTGCCCGAGGCTCTGGATATGTCACCAGAGGTAACAACAGGCAGGCAAAAGGTGACATGTGCATCCTTAGCATCTAAAGCATGGCCCTCAGAACCAGTCTCTCTCTCTCTCTCTCTCTCTCTCTCTCTCTCTCTCTCTCGTCTGTGTGTGTGTGTGTGTGTGTGTGTGTGTGTGTGTGTGTGTGTGTGTGTTTTGAGATAGGGTTTCTCTGTGGCTTTGGGGCCTGTCCTGGAACTAGCTCTTGTAGATCAGACTGGTCTCGAACCCACAGAGATCCGCCTGCCTCTGCCTCCCACAAGCTGAGATTAAAGGCATGCGCCACCATTTCCTGGCTCCAGTTTCTCTTCTTATCATGCTGTCCTCAAGATTATATCAACTGGTTGGTCAAGGCTGGAGCTCAAGAACGACACCTATTTCTCCACAAGACATAAAAAGGCCAAGTGTACCCAAGTTTCCATCCTACTGTAGATGTCCCCTACCCAATAACATCGTGCAGCCCTTGGCTCTGTCCTGTCTTGGCAGAAGGAACAGCCCTGGAGGCTTAGCCATCAGGGCCTGGAACTTACCTGACAAGGCCAGCATTCTCCCCTAAAATGGCTGCTTTCCGGTATTGCTTCCATGCACTCACTTTGTCCTTTATGTCCCCAATGAATGTGTTCCTATCTGCTGTGCTGCACAAAAAGGAAAAGTCCTCAGCGGTGGTGGCCCCCCTTCATTGCCTAGGTTGTCTTTGTATTGGAAGTGTGCTGAGCCTAAGAAGACCCTGTCCACAGAACTCCTTGAAAAGGAGGTATCTACTGTCTGCTGCTTCTACTGTCCACTGCTCAGGGGGCCCAGGGGAAATCCATAGGTAGCCACCATATTCACTGAGGCCAGATCATATGCTGTTTTTGCTCCTTGAGTCGAAAGCTGAAAACAAGCATTCAGAGGCCCTAATTTCTGTGTAAGGTAGGAGCTGAAAAGGCTAATAGACCTCCCTCCTGTCCCTCTACACTGGGCCTGTCCATGACCAGAAGTGAGATCTGGCCTCAGACTGAACAGGTAAATGGGCACAACTGAACTCAGGGTGGAGGAGTCAGACAGGGCATCACGCACATGGCAAAGTCACTGATGAAGGCTGTCTTGGGGATTTCCACATCAAAAGCCACTTCTCTGGCTTCATCAGCACTGTTGACCACTTGGCTGGTGATGACGTAGTGGGCGAAGCGAGAGGTGACTTTACAATTGACTTTCAAACTCTTGATGAACACACCATCAACTGTCTGAAGCAAAAAAGTGGGGGATCCTGCCCACTCTAGAACAAAGGTGCCCAGATTGCAGAAGAATATACCAGACTTCCCAAGGAGACCCCCTCTCTCTACTGGAGACATGAAGTGAAGTACAAACAATGTCACATTTCAGGGGATGGGAGCCCCCTCCCTATGGCTCTGACAGGTATACTCACAGGGGTGGGAGAAAGCAAACCTATACTAAGGGACCCATCTCAGATCCTTTGCCATGACTTTCACTTACTGTGTCCACAGCCTGTCGCTTCTACAAGACAAAACCAAGGCTGAGTGTGAGTGTGAACGCTCAAGGACCAGGCCCATCTGTTACAGGGTGGGAATAGGGTCTGTGTTCAGGACTCCTCCACCTCCCTCCTCCTGCTTGGGAGGTAACCTCTTCAGGCAGAAATGACCCAGTGGGTGGTGGTGGCCCAGGTCCCTGAGTAGTATCTTCTGCAGCTCCAGGGCCCCATGCAGGCACAACTGCCTGACTATGCTTAAGGGCTTAGTCACATACCTCTCTGCCCCTGGGTCTGCCCGTGGCCAAGCCCAAAGCAGGCATGGCCTGCAGAGTGAGGAGGGACACCAGGCACAGGCACAGCAGCACCCGAAGCCCCATGGCACCATCCATGGTCTCCAGGCTTTCACTTCCCAGTCCCTTTCCTCAGGGCTCTGATCAATACTGTGCTGGATAAACACAGATTAAACATTAGACACAGGGGAGGCAAATAGCAGGGTTTAGGGAATCAGAACTTAACAATGAACTGGGTCTGTAACTCAGTGGTAGATGACTTGTCTAGGTGCACAAAGCTATATATCGCAAAGGAAAATGAACATGTTAAGCCAAGTTGAAGAAAAAAATTGCAGGACCAGGGAGATGGCTCAGCAAGTAAAAGAACTTACTGCCAAACCTGACTACCTGAGTTTGATCTTGGAACCCACATGGTTGAAGGAGAGAACTAACTGCATACCTCTAGTTGTCTGATCTCCACATGTGTGATGTGGTATGCATGTACACACACACACACACACACACCACACACGGGAGGGAGGGAGGGAGGAAGGGAGAGAGAGAGAGAGAGAGAGAGAGAGCAACAAAAAATTCAGTGGCAGCTGGGCTTGACCTCTTCTGGCTTCTGTGCACAAACATGGCATGCACTCACATGTATACATATGTAAAAATAAATATCTTTGAAAAATATGGCAGCGAAAGCTGTCTTCTTGTGAGGCTGGCAGCTCAGGACTGTGGGAAGTCCCTGTGAGACTCTAGGCTGCCCTTATGTATCTATCTGCACTCAGTCAAGGAGGATTGTGATGCCCTCAAATGTTTCATCTCCTTCGGGCTCTAGCACCAGGCAGCAACAGTCTCATTCAGTTGACATTTGGCAAAAAGTTCAGGTAAAAGTGGATCTCTAAATTTTTTTAAGTTGCTTTTATGAGCATTGATGCTTGGCTTGCATGTATGTCTGTACAAGTTGTTAAAATTTTTGTTTAAATTTGATATAAAGAAAAAGAGGAGCACAAGATGAGACACAGGATGAGACATATTAGACAAATTAACTATTTGTCTATTTATTATAGGCCTGGCAGAGCAGGGAGACTAAGAGAGAAGAGGAACCTGGTTAATGGCTGACCGCCATGGCCGGTCGCCATCGAGAGAGAGAGAGAGAGAGAGAGAGAGAGAGAGAGAGAGAGAGAGAGAGAGAGAGAGCACGTAGGTGGGAGAAGAGAGGAGCAGAGCAGAGAGAAGAGTAGAGAGAGAGCGTAAATGGGCAGGGCATGTCTTTTTAAGGGGTCCTCTGCACCTGCATGCAGACTTAGTTCCCATGGAACCCTGGACTGACCTGTTCCGCCAGGTAACAGGGGCAGGCCAGCATAATGCCTGAACATTTCACAAGGGTGTCTGATCCCCTGGAACTGGAGTTATAGACAGTTGTGAGCTGCCATATGGGTGCTGAGAATTGAACCTAGGTCCTCTGGAAGACCAGCCAGTGCTCTTAACCTTTGGAGAGATGTCTCCAGCCCCCAGATTTTTAAACCAAATGGAGCTTTTCTTCCAAAATTCTTTAACCGTCAACAAACTTTTCAGTCATGCTTTGGTGGCAGATACAGTTGGCATCTTAGAAGGTGCCACAACACCTAGTTACACACGGTTCTGATAGAGCCACTGCTGGCAACAGTTCTGTGTGGGAAGCTTGGGGGAGGCACAGTAGGTGACCCATGCTCCAGGCCTATTGCATCATTTCTCTGGACCTTCTTGCCAAATTTAGACAGAAAAACAGAAATTAGCTTTGTCCTGCTCCCACCTGGCCAAGGTGCTGTTGATTGGGAGGTTTGAGATGAGCATCACTCTCTCATGCTATTGCTCTTTATTTTCTAAATTCTATTCCTATGTCTCTGGGACATCCACACTTGAACTTAGGTTTCAGGTTCCAAAGCCCAACATTTAATGATAGACATGCCCCCTAAGATAAAAGGCAGTGAAAACAGAGCAAAGATTCCAGAGGGGAGAGTCCCCAGAGACTTGGCTTATCCAAGAACTTGCTCAGCTTTTATGCTCAAGCCCTCCCTGTCCCCAGCAAACCAAAATACACTGGATGAACATAGTCCTTCAGTTTGGTCACTCTATGACCTGCGGTGGGAGTGACCCTGATGAGATGAAAAGGACCTTGCAGATCTGTTTGCTCATCCTGGACTTTGTCTCACAGAGACAGCTTCTGGGAAAATGGCATTGTCCTTGTGCCAGGGTGACCTGCTGACCTTTTTTTTTTTTTTTTGCCTTTGTGTAAGATTAGATAGGTAAACACGCTGCTGTACATTTGAGGGTTTGTTTATTCCTTTATCAGCATGAAAGGGGCCTTTGGTGGGCTGGGCACAATACTAGATTGGGATTCTACCATGATGAAACTTGGGTGCACCGCTATGTTTAGTGAGCTGATGCCATGGGAAGGGGAATGAGACAAACCAATGGAATTAGTGGATCCCAGGGAGTGGCTGGAGGATGAAGAGGCCAAAAGAGCTGTAGACATTGGGAAAAGGAATTCATCTGTATGGGAATCAGAAGGCATCTGGGGAAGAGTGGCATTTGGGAAGGTAAAGACAGGGACAGGAGGAGAGGAGGGACTTTGGCAAGTGGGGGCAGGAACTCCAAGCAGGAACCTGAAGCAGAAACCATGGAGGAATGCTGCTTGCTGGCTCACTCACTAACCCATGCTTAACTAGCTTTCTTATACAGCCCAAGATCACCTCAGGAATGTTGCTGCTCACAGTGGGCTGGGCCCTTCTATAGAAATTAACAATCAAGACACTCCCCTACAGACTCACTCACAACCCAACCTGATCTGGGCAGTCCCTCAATTGAGACTCTCCTCTATGGTGACTCTAGGTTGGGTCACACTGATTTTTCACACTAACTAGTGTTATAGTTTTTTTTTAAAGATTTTATTTATTATGTATACAACATTCTGCTTCCATATATATCTGCACACCAGAAGAGGGCACCAGCTCTCATTGTAGATGGTTGTGAGCCACCATGTGGTTGCGGGGAATTGAACTCAGGACCTCTGGAAGAGCAGGCGGTGCTCTTAACCTCTGAGCCATCTCTCCAGCCCCTAGTGTTATGTTTTTATTTAAGAGGAGGAAAAGAGAAAGCTGCAAGATGAGACATGTTAACTAGTTTATTAAATGGCCCGGGAGAGTAGGGAGACTAAGAGAAAAGAGGAACAGGGGTAATGGCTGACCGCCATGGCTGGTTGCCATAGAGAGGCAGAGAGAGCACGTAGGTGGGAGAAGAGAAGAGCAGAGAAGGAGTGAGCACAGAGAGAGCAGTGTAAAGAAAGGAAGCAGAGAGAGTGAAGCAGGAAAGTTGGAGCTTTTAAAGGGAAGATTGTGCATGTGCACTGAGGTTCCACGCATGCCCAGAGTCCTCATGCGTGGCGGGTGGCGTGGTGATGACGTAGCACGTTTTCTTGTGCGTGCCCTGACTGTGGTCAGGGGGTATGGTCTGTCTCTTAAAGAGGTAGAGCTGATCAGCGTCAAAGCCTGAACCTTTCAACTAGGACTGCCTATGTGAGAACCCTTAGCTTTTGGCATGGAAAACACTGAAGCAGCTAAGACTGCAACACTGAGAGCTAGGTACTGTAGTACGTACCTGCCGGGCCAGCTACTGAGGCAGGAGGAGCAGTTGAATTGAGAGTTCCAGGGAAGACTGGAAAAACAAGGAATAAAGCAGATTGGTGGGTGGGCATGTGGGGGTGAGGGTGGGGGAGATGGCTGTTGAGAGATGGTTATGCCAAATCTGCCTCATAGAAGGAACCAGGAGCACCCTGATTTGGCTACAGTGGTGGCAAGCAGCATGAAAGGATAAGAGCTAACAACGACAAGTCCCTGACTAGCATGCATTTCAGCATCTTTTATGGCCCACTCCTTCACTGTTCCCTACTACCCCCAGGAGTTAGGTATTGTTACTCTCCTCATGCTTAGGATGAAGAGGGCAATTGGTCCAGCCCATGGCTATGGGAAGGGGAGATAGACAGGAAGCGGGTGAGGTTGCTGAAGGATTAGGCCTGAGGGCCTGAGTGTGTGACTGCCTCATACTCCTGATGCCTTCTGCATCAGGATGGGCTGAATCCTCAAACTGTGAGCCCAAAGCAATCCTTCTTCCCTTAGGTTGATTCTTGTCAGATATTTAGTGACAGCAACAAGAAAAGTAACAGATACAACTGAGGATGCAGTTCAGTTCTGAGGATGCCTGGAAGATCAGAGGTCCTGGGGCTAATTCCCAGTAGTGTTAAAAACAAAAGCAAATCAAAGACGTGAAAGGATGTAAAAAAAAAAAAAAGGCACTGTGCTCTAAGCCTTCCCCTCCTAGGTCCTGTGTGGTCTGGTCCCTGCTCAGTTCTATCTTACCTAATCCATGGTCCCTATGCGGCTGGCAGTGTAAGACTTTGTGGTTGTTTGAAAAAAAATGGCCCCCAAAGGGAGCAGCACTCCTAGGAGGCATGGCTTTGTTGGAATAGGTGTGGTCTTGATGGAGGAAGTGTATTACTGTGGAGGCAGGCTTTGATGTCTCAGATATGTTCAAGATACCTCCCAGTGTCTCAGTCTACTTCCTGTAGTTTGCATGTCAACATGTAGTAGCTCCTTCTCCAGCACCATGTCTGCCTGCCATGATGATAATAGACTAAACCTCTAAAACTGTAAGTCGCCACCTCAATTAAAAAGCTTTCCTTTGTAAGTATTGCCATGGTCATGGTGTTTCTTCACAGAAATAGAAACCCTAAATAAGAGAGACTTATTCCATAGACACCTATTCCCAATTCACATAGCATATAGGTATCTGCCTGCCTGCCTGTTTGTCTTTCTGCTTTAAAGCAGAGATACACACAGCACAGAAGTCTGGGAGACATCAAGAAAGAAGCAGAAGTCAAAAGAGAAATCAGTGTGGACAGGGACTGTAGGAGAACCTGGAATGTTCTAGAAACCAAGAAAGGAAAAGATTCCCCAGAAGGGCAAAGATGTCCACTTAGGAGCTGTGCATGGTGGGGCATGCCTTTAATCCCAGCACTCTGGAGGCGGAGGCAGGTGGATCTCTGAGTTTGAGGCCAGAGTGGTCTATAAAGCAAGTTCCAGGACAGCCAAGGCTACATAGCGAAACACTATCTCAGAAAAAAAAAAAAAAGAAAGAAAAGAAAGGTATCTTTTTAGGAAAAAGTAAAATAGATGTTGTCTTGGATGGAGCAAATATTCAGTCTCGAGAGAAACAAAACAAACAATCATCCTCCCAAACCCTAGACTACCACAATGGTTTGTAGATACCCAAGAGTCACAATACATAAAGAGATATCTGTGGTACTAAAGGTTCTCTCCTTCTACCATACAGGTCTTGAAGGTGGAACTTATCACTAGTCTAAGTATCAGCCTTAACCAGCTGAGCCATTTCATTGGCCAGTATTTTTTTTTTTACCATTTACTTGTTTATTTTGGGGGGTGTGTGCACATATTCATGGTGTGGCATGCAAGTGGAGGTCAGAGGACAACTTTCAGGAGTCAGTCATTTCCTTTAACCATGTGGGCCCAGGAATCATTCTCAGGTCATCAGCCTTGGCGTCAAGTGACTTAACTCACTACTTCCAGCTACCATTTCAAAGTGTACATTTTAGTGGTTTAAGTACACTTACTTGTTTGCAACCACTGTCCAGACATTTAAAAATTTTGCGAAGTGAAGCTATGCATCCATTAAACACTGACTCCCAGCACTTCTCTGTCTAGGAGTGGGGAGATGGATGACACTGATAACCCCATTCTTCCTGCTGTTTCTCAAATTCTTTCCCTTCTGTAGATAACTTGATAACGAAATCACATAATAGTTGTCCTTTGTGACTAACTTATTTCATTTACATAATGTCCTCAAAGTCTTTCCATGCTATTGCATGTCAGAATTTCCTTCATTTTCTATCACTTTATAACACACACACACTTTCACCTACTCACTCATGATGGTAACTTACGTGGTTCCCATCCTTCATTCTTTTGAATGTTGATGTGATCATAGGAGTATAAATATCTGTTTGAATCCCTGCTTTGAATCTCTCTCTCTCTCTCTCTCTCTCTCTCTCTCTCTCTCTCT